GATAATGGTCCCTTCAACCTCAATTTTCCAACTACGGTCCTCCCGACCTCAATCACCTGCCGACTTCAATCCCTCTAACCTCGCTCCATCGCCCAACAATAATATCTTTAACCTCAATTGCCTAACCATGGTCCGTTTGACCTCTGTTGCACAACGACTATTATCCCTTCTATTTTAGTCACCCAACTACTATCCCTCTAACCACTATCACCTGATTATGAACTTACTGATAAAATAAATAGGCCATCATCCTCTTGAGAGTAGCTCTTATGTCATTAGATTCTTCCAACCCCAATTTGCTACAATATGTTAATTCCTTCCTAAAAATGGTCATTTGTAATTAACAATAAATGCTAGATAACCATTTAAACTGAGCTAGGTCATATAAGTTTTTTCTTTCTTGGGTTTTCCACATAAAAATTTGGTGTCTCTTATATTGTTTTATCTTCTCTCTTATTTGTATGTATGTTGGATTTTTTTTTCTTAAGCTGATACATTAAGCATTTTTACCTCCCTACCATTGTGAATGTTCTAGCGTGTAACAATATGACACTATATATGAGAAATGATTCTTAGCTAGGGCCAACCTCTGTTACAACCTCAAAAGGTCGTTCAAGTTAACATCCTACGAATTGTTGTAGTGAAGTATTCCCTTTTCCATGAATTATTAGCAAGTTCGAAAAAAAGTCTTTCAATATTGAGGGTAGGGGTGTCAATTTCGGGTCACGGGTCGGGTTCGGGTTGAACCCGAAATTGACCCGACACTATTCGTGTCAATCCAAACCTGATGTCAATTGGGGGTGGGGTTGGAGAGGGGAGATCTTGGAGGCTACCTCATAGAGATAATGAATCTCAAACACTACTGTGTTTAAGCAAGTTCCTCCAATATTGTTAAATTAGATTAGTGAGTTGGTTCAAATAAATTGAATCATGGATCATTCTTCTAATCAGTATAATTCAAATATTATGATTGAATTAATTAAAAATAAAATAAAAAATCATGAAGATATGAAGGTTGAATCTTCAAGCATTTCTAGTTTTAGAAACCAATTCATTCATTTAAATAGTTGAAAATCTTCAAAATTAATCTTAAATTTATGATCATATAAATTTGATTCATCCATATTGATGCCTCACGTTTAACCTTTCTTCGACAATAAAGAAATTATTAACAAACTGTTTGGAAGAGCTTTTTTATTGCTTTGTTTTTCATATAGCAACTATAATTTCATTCAACTACTTCTTTCTTATTGTTTTTTAAAAAATTCTATAGATAATAGCTATTTTTTGCAATCAGAATAGTCAAATTACTTATTCCACAATAATTTCAAGACTAATTTTATAAAATGTTGAAGCCTTCCCAACAAATAGATCTTAAGTTAGTCCTTATCATTTATTTTAAATTTAATGATTATAATAAATTTTCGTTCTACCAAAATTTCTTATTATATTGAATATTTGAATAGAAATTGACTTAGAAAAAGGAAGCTAACAATTAGTTATTATTTTATAAATTTATTTACTTTTCTTACAAGTAGAATAGTAGATGTTTCCATTTCTCATTATAAAATGTATTACATCATTTAAATAATTATTAAAATTTTAACTCCATACGACCTTTCTCAATGTATGAAGCGACTATCAATGCTTGGCCAAAAACGGCACTTTAAAAATTTAGAAAATGGTATGCAGTTTTAATTGGTTGTCCTTTCTGGTTCATCAATCGATTTTGGTGGGATAAGACTGTCGAGCTTCGTTAGGGTATTATTATTATTTTTTTTTTTACATTTTTTAGTCAATTAAAGAAAAATTCATACATAGATCACACAGTGTAATCTTCAAATTTAATTTTTTTTTATTTATAGTCAAAATTTCCACCAAAAAGATCAAGATGGCTGCACGGATATTATTATTTTGACTAAATTTTGAGCCCAAAGTTTCAAAGATAAATAAATAATTAATTTTAAGATATTATTATTTTATTTGAGTTAAATTTTGTTGATGACTTTGAATATGATTTCTTTGACAAATTTGTCCATAATTTTAAGTATATTTTAAAACATAATAATGTCCGTCTAAAATTTCAATTGAATATGTGAAGTCACATTCATTTTTTATTTATATAATATTTCTAACTTTGATATGTAACTCATTTTAATTTGTTTTTTTTTTTTTTGAAGCTTAGGCTTCAAATCAATATGCATTGAATTCAAAGATTTAGATATACAATGGATGAGAATTCGAAATTAAATTAGCCCAAAGCCAAAAAAAAATTGAGTGTCTATCATTAGCTAAATTGTTATGTTTTAACATTCGCTTATTATTATTATTCACCGCAAAATTATCTTTGAATTGATTACGAACTCTTTTTTTTTTTTTTTAAGAGGTTGAATGCTCAAATTATCGCCATCAGCTTAGGTAAATCACACAGCTCACCTTGACGTGTTGGTTGGGAGCTTCAGCTATCAATCAAGAGCTCTTGGGTACGAAGATTGTGTATGTAATGTGTGTATGAGTCTATCTTAATTGGCCTAAATGACCCAAAAAAAACATAGGGCAATCACGGCCTACTATTGGGCCACGAAGTCTTATACATTTAACAAATTTTCGAATAATTGAAGAGATTTTGGGGGAATATTATTGAGTAAAAGTCCATTATATACTACAAAAACACGAATCTCTTAAAGTTTTAATTTTTTCAATGTTAGCTTCTATACCTCTATGAGTAATCATGAATCCCAAGAATTTTCAAGACGTGACTTCAAAAATGCAATTAGAACGGTTAAGTCAAAAATTTTATTCATGAGGCATTGATAAGTAGCTTCAGCATTTTTGAGTTCAACCGTCATGACCCTCTAACAATATAACCCCTTATTAGTTTGAAAAGAAGTTGCTTCCTCATCTAAAGGATCCATTTCTATTTGATTAGAGACAGAATATGCATCCATGAAACTTAACATTTAATGTCTAGACATCGTATCTACTAATTAATCAATATAAGAAAGTGAAAATTTGCCCTTTAGGCAAGCCTTATTGAGATCTATATAATCTACACACATCCTCCATGCCCCACTAGCTTTTTAGCCATCATGAAATTCGCAAGCCAAGTTGAATAATTTACTTCTCTTATGAATTCGGCTTTAAAAGTTTATTTACTTCATGCACTATGGCATGCTGATGATCTAATGTAAAATTTCTCTTCTTTTGAATAATTGGTTTATATGTGGGGTTTCTTTTGAGAGAATGTACAATAGTCTTACGGTTAACTCTTGGCATATCAACTGAACTCCATAATAAAACATCTTGATTTATTTACAAAAAATTGACATATTACACCTTCTCTTTATTATAAACTAAGGACCCGATCTACATCGCTTTTAGTGGATCTTCTTCTGATATGGAAACACAAATCAAATCCTACCCTAGAGAAGCACTCCAAAGGACATCTTCATTTTGGAGTTCAAAATTTTCAACGCTTTAAAGTAATGAATGGGTGAGGTTGAGCTTGATTGAGATAGCATAATTGTGCCTGCTACTGATTTCCGCGCACCTCGCCAACTCTAGTTGGAGTTGAGAATTTCATATTCAGATGAGACACTAAAGCGATAGCTTTAAAGATTAACTGTAGAGGTCGACGAAAAATAGCATTGCATGTCGATTCTTACTTAGCTACAATAAATTGTACTTAATGAGTTGCATGTACGTTGAGAAAACTCTCCAAGTTTGACAGGGAGCGTAATTATTCCTTCCACCCTTACTGGACGATTGTCAAATCATATCCATACAATGGTCCAACGATAAGCTGAAGTTTCTCTCTAGCCAATCCCATGCTAAGAAAAGTTGAGTAGAACATGACATGTATAAAGTTCTCATTGTCAATTAAGATTCTTTTGACATTGTAACATAGATCGCCAAAATCAGCATTAATTGACAGATGGAAATCTAATTCGATGCATATTGGAGCGAGAGAATCTATTGTTGGTATTTCTTCGATTAGGCATTGAAAAAGAATTAAGTATTGAGAATAATTTCTCATAGACGATGTCAAACTGTTGCGGGCAAGAATATACACGACAGTAGAGTATGAGAATAAAGTATCTTAGCAATTTATGTATATCCAACACACCAACATATATTTGAGAGAGAAAAAACCCCATAAGTTTTTTATATGGAAAACCCGGAAAAGAAAAAACCATAGGGCCCGACCCAAATGAGAAAGTTCCACTAAGTTTGAATGAAGTGCAAAGCTTGATTTGCTCCTTTTCTTAGGAGCAATTATTACGTCCGGTCACCGAACGTGTTCATAGACCAATAACCACGCACCACGTCATCTGAAACTCGGTATTGAGCACTCGGTATTGCTCGGTATACATTTGGATACGTTCGGATTTGACCGGACGTAATAATTACTCTTTTCTTAGAGACGATAGAATTACAATAGATTGGAAAATTGGAGAGTAGCTTGACGATGGTTGACAAAAGAACAGAACGATTTTTCATATGTTCGCAAGCTGTAATTTTTTTCTCCGATTAAATTACTTTACAATAATGCATTATATGTGATCGATTATTCATATGTTCGCATGCTGTAATCTTTTTTTATTTTTTTTATTTTTTATTTTTTGATTAAAACTAAAAAGTAGAGACCTATGCGTTAATATTAAAAAAAAGTGCAGATCTAAAAAAAGATCAAACTTTCGCATTCTGTACTTGAAAACATAATGGGGATCAAAGGCACGTAAAAAAAAACACCAAAATTCAAATAGTTAGAATGGATTTGATAGTGAAAAATCAATTAAAAGTACGTACAGAGAAGCTTCATAAATTTAATTAACTCATTTAATGTAAAAACCTTGACTTCCACTATTCCTTTGTGCAACACGCTATCTTCATTATATATTTTTTCGGTTAGTACTGGCTTCCAGTATATATAGGCTTGAAAATGATAAACTTATAGGGAGTTAATAGGGAGGTTAGATAGAACAGCAAGGAAGTGAAAAATGGCTTCGGAGCTATCAACTCATCTTGAGTTAGGCAGCTCCCTAACAGTACCAAATGTCCAGGAGCTTGCTTCAGCCATTTCTACCAGTGAGATCCCAGAGAGATACTTCAGGCCGGAAGCCGAAGCCAGAGTGGTGGATTCCATTGATGACGATGAGCTTCCGGTTATCGATCTAATGAAGCTTGTCGATCCGGAGCTCTTCGACAAGGAGGAGCTCTCCAGGCTGGGACTGGCATGTAGAGAGTGGGGCTTCTTTCAGGTATATTGACATAACTAGTTTTGCTTATAATGAACCATTGGAGGTTCTTAAATATTATTAAACATATTTTTCCTCTAATTTTTTACAGCTAATAAACCATGGAGTTACACAAGAAATGATAGAGAAAACAAAGACTGATATCATGGGATTCTTCAAGCTTCCACTCAAAGAAAAAGAGGCATTTAAACAGTTACCTGGACAAATAGAAGGTTATGGTCAAATGTTTGTGCATTCAGAGGAACAAAAATTAGATTGGGCAGACATGCTAACACTAGTCACCAAGCCTCATAAAGATATGAGATTTTGGCCTATCAATCCATCATCTTTCAGGTCCCCATTAAATTATGTTTACAAAAATGATTAATTATATAAAAATAATTTCATGATAATACAAACAAATTAAGACAGAGTCTTTTCTTATTTAAATATCTCTGTACTTTTTAACTCTTCTACGTACATACACATTCATCTGTTAACTTATTGCAGGGACACAATCGACAAATATACTGTGAAGATTGAAAATGTTGTTGATTGTCTATATGCATTGATGGCTAAGGATTTGGGGATTGATCCCAAAGTCATGCTTAAGAATCTTAGCAAGCAGATGCAATCAATAAGAATAAATTACTATCCACCGTGTAAGGAGGCTAATAAGGTGTTGGGTCTCTCCCCACATAGTGATGGTATTGCATTAACAGTGCTCTTGCAAGCAAATGATGTCAATGGCTTACAGATAAAGAAAAATAACAAATGGTTACTTGTAAAATCAAAACCGGGAGCTTTCATTGTCAACATTGGTGATATGCTTGAGGTAATTTACTCAGCCATTCCTTTTATCTTTGAATTAATGCTAAAAAATATCATGTCTACCATACCATTTGATCTCTCTCTCTCACTCTCTTTCTTTTATAATTCATATACTTTTCTGACTTCTAAACAGATAATGACTAATGGAAAGTATAAAAGTGTGGAGCATAGAGCTATTATAAATATGGAGGAGGCCCGACTTTCAATAGCCACATTTCATTTACCAAACACAGATGTTATACTTCGTCCTTTTCCTGAGCTCATTAGTGGTGATGGAGAGTTGTATAAGACCATAAGCGTCAAAGAGTATACCAAAGAGTACTTCTCAGAAAAACTAAATGGGAAGAGCGCCTTAGAGAGCATGAAGCTAAAGAAATAAAGGAGGATAAATGCCTAACAATAATTTGGGATAAAAATATTTTATAAATATATTATTATTAGATATACTGTCTCATGTGAGTACCATGGTAACTCATACCCTAAATAAATTTAAAAATGGATGAGTTCATATTTATTTTAGATCATACTACGTAATGTTCCAAAATGTCTTCTTTATGTAAAAGGAAAAATCTATTGCCTATAGACAGCTATTGTAGTGTTGTAAATCTCATGTACTCCTATTTTATAAAAGATGTGTTCATTAACCCTAATCCCAATTCATTTGAGATCGAGCTTTGCATCCATAATTTTATTGAAAAAAAATATGCTCAAATAAGCTCCTAGTAAGCAAGTGCAACCAACCTTATCTTCATCCTTTCAATTTTATGCTAAATTTCAAACATTGTACCATTACTTAAGATAAAAAAATAGTACTAAAAAATTAAAATCCTTGTCTTGTAGAATGCATAACCTAAACAAGAACAAAAGACCTTCTTAGTTCTAATAACGTCGGCACAATCCATGACCTAATTTGTGTTACTAATGTATTATATCAAAGTGAAAAAAATATTATTATGCAAGATTCTTATTTTCCCTTTGAAGCAATGGATGGTTCGATTTTTTAGGTGTTTATGATAAGTTGCCTATTATTAACATTTCTTTATCCCCTTTACCTGATGAGGCTTTGCTTTCTTTGGGGTTGGAGAAGCAACACCTGAATGTTTTTTTTTTTTTTTTTTTGATAACACTGTCGACAATTCTGACTGGTTAAATGATATGTTTGGCATTAACAATAATGTTGGGTAAGTTAATGTTGATCATTGCCATGTTTTGCATGAAGAAATCAATTTGGATGTTGTGAAATTGGACAATGATGGTTTTTTATATTGTTTCGAAAAAAAAATAAGAAATCTAAAAGTAAAAATTTGGAGCATAACTAAAAGTACTCTATTGATACTTCATCTCGATTCAAAGTTCCTTAACTTGGTATGTTCCTTCTTTGTGGTGGGATTGATTATTTCATTGTTGGTTCTTCTGCTTGTTCTGGGCTGTCAGGGTTCTTGTTCTGATCATTGTTCTCTTATTATGGTGGTTTTTTTTTTTTTTTTTTTTTTTTTTTTTTTTTTTTTTTGTCTATTAGTGGCTTTGTTTCCTATATTATCAGTATTGGGGTTGTTTTTTGCTGGTTCTTCTTTCTGTTGGTGGGGTTGGTTGTTAGTAAGGAGTTTATTTCCTTCTTGCCTTGCCTTTCTTTTTTTCTTCTATTTTGCTTTGCTAATTGTCTAGTTTTCTGGAGTTTCTCTCTTCCTACAGGTGAGTCTATGGTTCTTGCCTTTGGTTCTATATGGCTTTGTCGCTTTTACTAGCTTATGTCATCTGGGTCTGCTTATACAGTAGTTCTCCTTTTGTTGATGGTCATAATTGTTGTTGATTGATATTCACTTCTACATCCTTTTCCTGAGGATTGTTTCTTTATTGTGCATTCTATTGTTGTTTTGCAAGTTTGATCATAGTCTTTGGCTTCATTCCTAGCACTAGTCTCTATTTTTGGTTGATCTTTAGGCCTTTTTTTATTTAGCTATCTCGTTCTATTGTACCTATCAAAGGATCATAAATTTCTTAAGGTTTTATTTTCTTTTTAATTGTAGATCTTGGACCATTTGCTGAGTTTTTGATCTTTTTTAAGGATCTTGTATCTTTTTTTCCGAATTAATGTGCAAGCCCTCTGTGTGTTTTAATTTAAAAAAAAATCAAAGAGAAAAAAAATGCTTCTTGCCAGCCATGCAATTAATCTTAAATAAATTATAAGATATTCAATTATTGATATTAAAAATAATATTGATAAAACTTACAAAATCTACCTAATAAAGCATGAATTTTCACACATTTTTTTGAAAAAAAAATCATTTAAAATTAAATTTAAAAACTTTCAAAAATAATTGTTTAGACTATGATTCTCTTGCCTCCAAAAATTCATACCCCAGCCTCTCTATAGCCCCTTTATTTTATTTTCGGGTCATCAAAGAGAGTTTTAACGTTTAAGTTTCAAGGTGAATTTGTAAAAGGCAGATTAGGTTGTAAATAAGACATCACCTAGATATTTTGCCCTCGTTTTACAAAGACTTTATTATATGAGTTTTGGTTTCTTATATGCGCAAGCCCTTATGGTTAATTACCCCTCCCGATAGTGAGAGAGAACTTTAGATCAATGCTAGTTGTGGAAAAATTGTGCAGTATCCGACAGATAGTAGAAGAAAAGTTTTGGTATTTAAAAAATTTAATATTTAAATTTTGAAATTTACCACCTTGCACTTAAAGCAGGTGATGGAGGAAATGATGATAGACCTAATCAAGATCCCATGATTCCATCATCTCGGACCATCATGGTCCCTGGTCTTCTTAGGTAGTCGACCTAACCTGATAGAAAAATCCTTGTCGTCAACCATTGGTTGCTTCGTTCTAGGGTACCTAATAGACCCAGGGTGAATATTTATCTGAGGGAACAAATTTATATCAACCTTACCCAGAGGGTTTTATGTCATATCTATCATATACTATTGATTCATTACTCAAGAATCTGAAGTCATTGGGGAACATACGGGTTATAACCATGACCGCAATATAATGATACCATTTGGCGGCAAAACTACCGGATCAAAGGGTCCCGATCATAACTGTTTACTTGTGATGTCATTTGGCAACGATACCACTTGTTAGTGGATATGTGTCATGTCCTTACTGATAGGATACGGTTTGAGAATGAATCTTTGTGATATTCTCGACAAAACATTTGCTCTTCATGAGCTGATGTGTAATTTTTAAATTTATCTATCTTGACAAACTATTCTAGAGGGCGGATGAGTATTTTTACTTTAAGTATTTGATGATTAATTTCAATTTAATATTTTTTGTTTTGGTAATCTTCAAGTTTTAATTTTTGTGAGAATTTGGGAGGCAATTATAGAAAATTTGAAGAGCTACACCTTATAACAATGCTACGGAGAGTGTGCATAGTAGATGTTAGATGACACTGCGGTAGTGATTTTTCAATCACACCATGCTACGAAGAGCATGTATTGGTATTCGAGGTACCTATTTGAAAATGCATTTTTTTTTCTCACAGGCATTATGGCAGACACTCAGGTACTTAGAGTTATCCCTATTATGCTATGAAGTACATGTATAGGGCCTACCCACCACGCTGCAAACACCATATAGGATTCCTTCCCATCATGCTACGAAGAGTGTGTATAGGAGGTACCCCAGAGTGCCACAAGCATCAAGAACAAAATTTTGATTTTTAATGGTTTTAAAAGCATTATACGTTGTGTGTGAGGTGGCGACGGTGATGGAGACTATCACAAAAATATGTTATCTCCCATTTTTTTATTCTTTTTATCTCTTTAATTCTTTTTTTATATTTTGATACTTTTTAAAATAATAATAATAATATTATTATTATTATTAGTATTAATTAATAGTAATAACTAATACCAATAATGATATAGGAAGAAAGAGATAAAGGTTGGGAATTTGGGTAGATGGCTAAGTAGGATTTGGAACTAGGAAGGAAAGTCGGGCAGTCAAGGTTGGCATAGTGGAGGAGGGATTAGGTTATAATTGCCTGGATCGATTGGAAGAGTTGTGGCTGGGGTTTAGATCGGGGTAGTTCGTGAGGTAGGAGCCATAAGTGAAGGAGGTTGGATCGGTTTCTACATGACTTAAGGAGGAGAGATCATAAAGGTTGCATGTAGCAGGTTCGGCCGATTTGGGTAGTGACAAGGACAAGGTCAGGATTTGAGGGAGCTAAAGCTAGGTTTGGGTAAAGAGAGGGAGTCGAAGAGTTAGGGGGTCGAAGGTGATACGCTTGCAGACTGAAACAGGTGAGTTGGGCAAGGCCTTCGATCAGGATCAGGTGTGGACCATGAGGAGACTGATCGGAAGCTTTGCAAAACAAGTTGAGTTAGAGGTCGATGTTGTGAGGGATGTTGAGGGTTAATTCTTGAGGAATAATAGAAGACTGAGAAGTGGAGAGCTAGTGAATTTTGTGAGCTATGGGTGTTTGTGGCGGAGGGATGGCTAGGATTGGAGTTTGATTGGAGGTGTTTGAACAGGCTGGGTTAAGGTGGCATAAGAAGAAGAAAAAGATACAATGGAAGGGCTTCGTCTCTTCCGAGCTGCGCCAAACAGTGAGAGGTATGCGGGATTTTTGAGATTTTAGTTGGATTTCTGGACTTTCTGTGGAGGTCAACAGATTTCTAGAATTTTATGATCGAGATAATATGTTCTGACGAAATAAATCTAATGAAATTAAAATTGTGCAAATTTTATCATGACCTAAACTGCATTGAATTAATAACACTAAATTGGAAGCATTCAAATTGACCAAAAGTGGGTGATCAGCCCCCTTTTTATAATACCGGCCCTAATGTTTTAGGAAATGAGTGTGCTCACCTTTGGGGTGGCAACAATTTGAGGCTTCTACCAAAACAATCAACTATTCAAACGTCCATCATATTCCCCATATGCTCTCCTTCAGATGAGTCCAAATCTACCCTAAAATTTCATTAAAGTCTTCCATTTTCACAAAATTTGTTGGAGAAGATTTGGAGACAACTTTGCTAATTCTTAAATCCTTTATGAAATTTTCAGGCAATGAAATCATAAGTTGTTTGCAGCACAAGATTGGTTTTAAGAATGGTGATATTTTACAGCAAAAGTGATCCAGTTTGATCATCAATTTTTATTAGCCCAAAAATTCATAACCTTATATTTCAGTCTTAGTTGGGAGATTAAACATGCATCAGCACATACCCGTCATGAGCTAGCTTCATTGTCCTCGATCATTGCCCGCCAATGAAGGGGTTGTAGCGGCCGGTCTCCCACCAAGCTCCAGCTTTATCAAAGCTTTGATATCCACCTCTATCTAGTTCATGTCTTCTCAGCCGAGCAGACCCTTATTCTATCCTTCATGCTTTCTATCCCAGCATTTTTGTAGGATCACATTCAAGTGCTTCCATTATCATCACGTAAAGGTTTGTCTTCTAGTTTTCTTGCTTTCTAATGCTGTGATGACCAATTTCATATCCCCTTTTCATCTCTCTCTCTCTCTCTCTCTCTCTCTCTCTCTCTCTCTCTCTGGGTTTGAAAAAAAATTTAGGTGAGAGGCTTTCTTCGAAGACAAAA